GTTCTTAAACTGCCATACTATTCAACAGCCATAATCAGATTTAATCCACACAAAATACAGGACCAAAAGCTGTGCTGGTTTAATAATTTGACCAGATATCACTAACCGAGGGGAAGGTAATATCTGTTATGAAGGCTGACCCTTTTAAAGCTGGCCTGACAGTTTTAGCTTTCCAATGCAGCCCTTGCCACTGTCTGTCACTGTCCTGAATGGTCCACACAGGATCAAAACCTGCAGAGTTTATGCTTGCAATAGACAAGGATGATGAAAACTGTTTCTACCTGTGAGGTACTAAAACTGAAAATATATTGTTCATTCCTCACACGAAGACTGTGGTAAGAATAACTGAGTGCAGATCTTCCAACTTTCAACCAGGAATTCTGAACAAAAGATTTTACTTCCTCCCTGCGTACTAACCATGTGCTAATACTTTAGAGGTGCCTTTTTTAAAAAAGTAGACAAAGCAACTTGCTCACGTGCTGCTGATGCCTAAAACCAGACATTTATTTCTGTATCTATGAACAGAATTTTAATCAAAACCCAAACCTCAGAGGAACAAGGACATAGTAAATGACGACATGACAATCTTAGTAGAAGCTCAGGGCTTGATCCTACATTGTTCAGTTATGCAGTGCTGTCAAACAAGCAAATTTAGAAGCACCTGAGCAGACCTGCTTTGATGCTGCATAACAAAGAGCCCTATGGACTGACCATGGAGCTCTTCTTGGCTAGTAGTAGTACAGCTAAGAAGGAAGCACATAGCAAAACTTCTCAGCTGTACACAGGGTATTATACTCAAGCCTATTTTTCTTCAGAATACTATTCTCTGTTCCATCCCTTTCCATTTTTCTGCTTAGTGTCCTTGAGAACATGGGAATGAGAACACGGGAATGAGAACACAAGGGGACTTTAGTCTTAGATCAATTGACAGAAGATAATCTCTGGTGTATAAATCAACTGTACGCACATGCGGCCAACTTGTGTTGCAGTGTAACAGCTCTGTGCTCTCTGCTGCACACTCTCGGCCTAATCCAAACCTAAATGAAGGCAGTGGAAATCTTTCCACCAACTTTAACCGGCTTTCGATCAGGGCTCAGGCAAAGGCCTGCCTGGATTATAGTCTTACTTTGAATGAGGTAAAGAGAGCTCAAATTACAAAACATCAGTACTACTTACAATATATACTATAGAATATTTACTAATATACTTTAATGTATGGTCTTAGATAATGTTCTTTGGAGATTTCCATTAATTGCCTCTACGATGGCTCTTGTAATGTTTGTTTAGCAAGAATTAATTTGGTTCTTATATGGCAAAGTATGTGAAAAGGAAACCCTCTGTAATCCTTTTAACTGACTTTAAATGCTCATTTGAATATAATTATTTTAAAGGATTAATAAAAAGTATTTTTTAAGTTAGTAACAAATTAAAAGTTTAGGAAAAAAACAGAGGCTATTTTGTCTTCACATATCTCTTTAAAATCATACTAATTTTAATTTCCAACACTATTTTATTGTACGAAAATATAATCATGCTATAAAAATTTCTCATTATGTAAGGAAAAATGAATAGAAGGTAGATAGTATACTAACACAATGACTGTAATCTGCTAATACAATAAGGCCTTCCTATTATGTTTAAACAAGAATTTAGTTCTTGATCATTTCGACAATATTTCCAAAACACTGTCTCAAAAGGATAAAGTTTAGTGTATTTCCATGCTTAAGGAAAAGTTTCTGATGTCCTCATTTACTGCTAAAAAACAATAAACAGTTAATAATGCATAACTTATGTTGTAGCAGATTACATTTCTGTACTAGGAAGCTGTGTATATTTTGTGGACAGCAGGTACACAGCCATTAGCTCTTCTGGTATCTGACAAATTTGACCACTTCTGTTAGAGTTACTCATTGAAAGAGTGTCTCAAAAAGAACCCAAGCAATGCTGAGTTTTGCAGATAATACTCAATACTTTTAACCCAGAAACTCTCTTTCAGTGCTGCTATATGAAAACAAGCAAAGGTGTGGAAAAATGTTCAGGCTTGATACAGTGCATGCTGCCAAATGTGGTAGTGGTATAAAAAGTCCATCCTAACCAAGACCAGGAGTACAAATAGCACTAGAAACACAGATTTGTTACACAAATGTATACAGGATACCCTCTCCTCAAGCAAACTTGCTTAAGACTACCTCAGAGCAGCATGAACAATAGAAAGATGAGTCCCCAGAGCTGCTGTTTTCAATTCCTGAACAGAACTTTGCTCATCAGAGACTCCTGTAGCAGGAACCTCATATTCTTGTTGCCACAAGACAGTACATCTGACAAAAAAATTATAACAGGGACTGAAAATAGTGTCTGTAAATATCCAACAGCAGCAGGTAAAGGTAGGGAATAGAGATATAGAGAAAATGGCCTAGAAGCTGAAAATTTATAGAGATCCTGAAAGATTCAAATTAAACTTGATGTTACATCCAAATGCAGTAGTCCTTCCTTCTAAAGTTCAAGTACTTTTTAACAATAACATCAAAAATACCTAACCTGTAATTACTGTGCTGCACTAGTTTGATGTTCCATGGGAATCTCAGAGGCATGACTCATTTCATTCATAAGTCATTCTCTGGCAAGTTTCTGGGACAGGAATTCGAATGACAAAGGAAGTTAGATCAGTTGACCAAAAGGAAATAAATCAGATTATTGGAATATTTTCTCAATGTGGAACAGAAAATTGGCATGAGAAAAATTCAACACTGAATCAAGTTTTGGACACAATTGCAGCCCTCACTAATTTGATGTAGGGACATCAGTGTTGGTCACAAGGGTGTGCTGCCTACTCCTTTATTTCCCAGATAAAAAGACTACACATTGTTTCAACAAAAAAGCAGTAAGTTGCAAATTCTGTTAGTGGCCAACAATCTCTTCTGTAGCTTCAGCACTGACCTTTTGAATACAAACGCTTCTGAACTGCTGAAAGGCAGGGAGGAGCTCTTTCCAGCTTATTTTCTCATGGAATAACCTGTGAGAAGTCAGAATTTGTTGCCAGAGAAATGGAGATCCTGAAATTTGTTTTTTTTAAATTACAAATACAATGAATTTGTAATTATAAAATTAAATGCAGCTGAACATTTGAGTACTTAATTTGTGTGCACTACCAGTGGCAATTTGAGCCACAAATTGGCTTGTGGATACTAAATAAGAAGCCTAACATCTTGATACAAATTGTGTCATGAAATTAAACTTGCCTTCTGAAAATGTAGCCCTACCAAACATATAAATTGACAGGTTATAAAGATGTCACACATCTTTCAATTTTTGAAGTGTTCTCAAATTAGCTCACATTAAGAAAATATCATGCAGCCTAGTGGTCTAATATCTTGCTAGAACAAATGGCAGTGAATATCCAATATCAATATATTTATCAATTACCACTTATCTGTATAACAAATACAATCAATTATTAAATGTAAATAAAATAAATCTCTTAAAAATTGATTTCCCAGATGAGAGGAAAATCTAGTTAGCAAGCTGAGTGTGAAATTTACATGTAGTTCATGAAAAAGTGATTACTTACGGATTTAATTGATTTTAGAAATTAATCTGAGGATGTAAAATTATGGCGTAAAAAGGAAATGAATCTGAAGATCTGTTTTATGTCCATGAGAAAGGTGTTTATTTTTTCCTTCCACGCACAGCCAATCCCAGATGCTGTGATCCACCAAGAAATTCCTACTCAAAGCCACATTCCCCGTTATCCATCTTCATAACGCTTAAACTCTTGCCCCTTTCTTATTCCCCTCATAGCTGAAATGTTTGTTCACAACTGAGTTGTGTCCTGATTTGGTGTCAGCAATTCCTTTCTCAGAAGTCTTGATACTGAGATTTAGTTTTCAACCTGTCAAATCATCCCTTTTCATACACCATACATCTTCTTACAGATTACTTCAATCACAAAATCTCCCACCTTTCAGAAACATTTCAGTGCCAGTGATGTAAGCCTTATACCATCATCTTTTTCTTGCAGTTTCTCTGCGCCTCCCTCCCTGTTGCTCCTTATATGCAAGATGTTCCCTCTGAATCACATTCAGGCTGCTCCTGAATACTTGTTTCATCTGTCTCGCCTACAAACGCTGGAAAGACAAGGTGTAAGAGAATCTTCCAAATAAGCAAGTCCTTTACTGAATACTCTGCACAGACTTACTGTTCACCTTTGAAGCACCTAGCACAGTGCTATATTGCGCAGAATTCCTGACAACTTTTTAAGAGTTTTTCCACGTTCTTGGAGCAGTTTAAGGAAAATGTGAGGTCTGATGCTGGAAGACAGTCTCCAACAAACAACCTTGCAAGATCTAGGACTAGCGTTTCTGAGCGTTTTCTCTTTACCACATTAATCCAAATTTAAGTCACTCGTGGGAACATTACAAAGGATTTTTCCATCCTTGAAGAGTACGGCTGCTGACCCTAGTCATCTGTCCCTGCATAAACACTTAGGCATTGTATAAATTACCAGGTTTACTTTTTGGAATAGACACCGTACTTCTTTATGGCAACTAGGATTGCTGTAAAACCCGTCACCTGCCTTTCCTCTAGAGCGCTGCTATTAATTCTGACAAAACTACGTGTCGCTTGCAGACGATGGGCACCCAGACCCTTCCGGAGCCCTCCAGGGTGCGAGGAAGATGTTCCGTTCCCCCAGAGCGGCCTCACTGTGAGAACTGGACCTTTGTCCCCACAGCCCCCGGGACAGAACCCCCTGCTCGGGAAGGGAGCGCCTCTTCCCGCCGGGGCCGGGCCCGGGGCCGTCACCCCCGGGGCCGGGGCCGGGCCCGGGGCCGCCACCCGCCGTTAAGCCCCGCCGCGGCCCATGCCGCCCCGTCTTGCCCAGTTGTCATGGAGACCAGAGGGGCCGGGCCTGAAGCAGCAAAGAGCCCGTGGATTGGCTGCGGGGTAGAGCCCAATGGGCGGGCGGGGTGTTCCGGCGGTGCCAAGATGGCGGCCAGGTAAACACGGGCGGGGAGGATTCCGGCGCAGGGGGTAGTGCGGGTTGTTGGGCAGCGCTGCTGCCTGCCTTCCCCCAGCCCGGGCTCGGCTCGGCTCGGCGCGGCGTTTCGTTCTGCCGGCGGGGGCTGCCCGCTTCGCCCCGGCCGCCTCTGCCCCCGGCGGGCGGCGCTGAGGGGAGGCGGGTGCGCTGCGCCGGGGAGGGCTGGGGCCGCGCTCCCCCGCTGCCCCTGGGGAGAGGCGGGAGGGGTTTGCTGCCATATCGCCTTTAGACTGAAAGCTGCTGTAAACAAGTGCGAAGTGGCAAAACTTTAGGGAATAAGGAAGGAAAAAAAAAGAGCTAATCACTTCAACCTGTGTACTGAAAGCCTCTACTTCTCTCTGAAATAGTAAGTACTAGAAGCTTTATAATGTCCTTGTCTGAGCCATCTATAGATAGTTAATTTCTTCAAAAGGAATTATTTCTGATGATGTGTTTTGTTATTTCTGCTTCTCTCTTCTGCAATCTTAATTAGGTTTTTATCTCAGAATGGGTAAGCTCACATAACTCTGGTATCTTTGCAGTGACTTGAAGTGGCTTGGACTTGATTAAACTGGAAGATGTGGAGTGGCCTGTTACCTCCAGGACTGAGTGAAAGTGATGTTGACTTAAGTTCTGATGATGGAGGCGAATCGCATGATTCCCTTTCAAAGAAAGATGCAAAAGAACATATTGAAAGAGTTCAGCTTTCTGAATTCCAAGAGAATGGACCTGAAACTAATGCCATTGGTGAACCCAGTGTGGTATCAGTGACAGATGGAGAAAATGAATCGCAGACGTGCCCTTCTGGAATCTCTTTAAGTATGTGGAATGTGAGTATTGTTACAGGTCTCCAGATATCCAGAGTACAAGTGCAACATACTCAGAGTTGAATGGCTAATGTTTAAACTTAAGTAGTTCAGTGTTGTATAAACATACAAATCTGAAATGAAATAAAACATGATCAAACTGCACTCACTGTAATATACCTTAGACTGTTTCAAGTAGAGTGAACAGGAATTTAGATAAGAAATGAATGTACCTTTTTTTTTTTTTCCCCTCCTGGCAGTGTTGATTGAAAGCACTTCAGGGAGATGTTTGGATAGCAGTACAGTTGCCTAAAGACTTGTGGTTTTGGTAGTGTGTGGGCCCTGAGCTTCTTTGTAACTGCTTTTTGCATTGGTAAGGATTTACAGCAAAGCATATCAGTCACTGTGCTGGTGGTGTATATCTGTAAAGTGGAGCTGTAGCCCTCTGTTTTCCATAGGGCTTAGTTGCAAGCATTCAGACTCATAGTTGTTTATAACCTCTTGATTTTCCTGTTGCGTGCAAGGACTGAAAAAAAATAAATCTAAACTAAGCAATCTGTTTAGGCTTTTGAGTAAAAATAAGAATTGGCAAAAACTAGTTCCTCTCCTCCATCCACCAATCCATGTCAGCAGCCTGCTGTGCAAGAACCATGCTGTCAGTAATTCCTGCATTACAAACCACCAGCTAGGCAATAACCATACACTGAATAGCTCAGGAGTGCACAACCAGCGTAAGTGTATTCAGTGTCATCTCCTATGAGAAAACTGTCAGGTTTGAATAGTCCTGGAATTTAGGGAGGGTAGAAAGAGAGAGATGATGAAAGATTAGAATGAGTTCCAGTTTGACACCATCAGAGTTGGATGTTCTCAATGCGTAAATTTTAATGTAACAAATACAACAAGGTACTGTGGATAAATAAAATGTTGGGACCACGTTCCTTAGTACATTATGTAAGTTTTTTAAAAATGGGAAAAAAAAATTAAAATACTGTTTTGCCTTTTCTTAATCTTGTAGAAATTTGTGGAGCTTCAGAAGAAAAACCGTGAAATGAAGACCCAAGCAAATGAGGGAAACAAAAGCCGAAAAAGAAAGCGCCACAGAAAAGGTGTTTTATATAATTATAGATTTTATTTTCTCAAAATGGAATCAGTGTCAGATACATTGGAGTGGGAATTGCTGGGTGGTAGGGGTTTTTTGGTGGTATTGTTGTTTTTTGGTTTGGTGGCTTGGTTTTTTTTTTGTTATTGTTGTTTTTACCAAGAATTTAATGCCTGAGTAGATGTATTCTAGCTATTATCTAGGATTTTATTTTTCCAGTTGTTGTATTCCAATTGTAGGACTAGATTGTAAATTGCTACTTAAAGTAATTCAGTTGTCCCCTTTTTAAAAAGGAGGTAGAACTTACTCAGTTAATTCTGATTTATAATGCCAAAGTCTATTTCAGTAATTCTGCAAAACATACTTTTGTGTATTCTGGTTAAAACTTCACAGATACTGTAGGAGGATCTTTGTATGAAAAGTCTTACAGCTGTGTGGTTTAAATCCAGATGATCATTGGGTAAAAACTCTAGTGTGTCAATCTGTCAAAGGAAATGTGACCAGTTAGAGTTCTGTTAACTACATTGGATGCTGTAGGGTATTATTGTGTAATGCTGTATTTTATTTTTTTTTCCCCTAGAAAAACAGAAAAAAAACGATGAAGTGACTAAGAGGTATAACCGGGTCAATGTGATTATTTGAGGTCTGTTTTGAATATCAGGCAAAACTTGTAAGAATTTTGACCACGGGCATGGCCAAAGGCTAGCTTTGAACATCATGTAAAATATCTGCTGAAATTGTTCAGTATCTGTTGGGAAGGCTGAATTTGATTCCAGTGATTGCTTGATGGAGTCTATTGCTTGATTTAAAAATAACACCGATATATTATTTAATGTAATTTAAAATGGACTTAATGTTACTCCTAACAGTGTTTTGCAGGGCATTGCATACAAGCTTGCTTTCAGGATTGTGGCATAACACTTAAGAGGGGAAGGAGTAACTACTTTCACTTCCATTAAAAACTGTGAATGGGAGAAAAGAGCATGTCTACCGAATGGAAAAATTTATTTTATCATTGAAAATAATACTACAAGTTGTGGTAAAGGAAGTGGTTTTATTAATGAGGGGTTTTTTTGTTGTATTTTTTTTCAGTAGTCAACAGTTGACAAATGAAGACAAATGGAAAGAACTTACACAATACTTTGGAATCAATGATAGATTTGAATCACCTGTGGATAGCAGGGCTCCACAAAAGGTGACTGTTGATACAAAAGCAATGTCTGCTTGTACTGGGCGGTAAAAGAACTCAGCCTTCACTGAGATAGGAATAAAACTGAGACTTCTTGAAAGTAAATGATCAAGTCACTCTGAGGAAGGGTAATTTGGACCACATTTTTAATGAATTTGCTTTTAGATACCACATGAACTGTCCTTGCATTAAAAGATTGCTGTGCCTTCTTTTGAGACAGTATTCATGCTTGTTTCATGTTTGGTTTTGTTGTCTGTTATCATGAGATAGAAGACTTCATATGCATTGTTTGACTTTCTTTTTCCTTTTGTTTTTTTAGTCATGTTTTAACTTTAAAATGTGTCAAATCCTTTAGTTGACACTGCTGGCTATATGAATTAGAGGGCCAAATCTACCATACAGTTTTATTGGGTTTATAACACATTTTGTTCATAAATGTTACTGTGTAACTAGTCATATTGTAAATAACTGGTACAACATGATGGAAAAGCTAAGAAATTCATTATATTGCAAGTTCCACATAGCACTGTTTGTTTTGTAGTTCTTCTAGTAAAGGCCTGTATAAGTTCTGTGACCTCAAATGTTGCTAGCCTTCTTTATGATAAATTTTGTATTTTTGCATTTGTCTGAAGTAAGCTTCTGCATGAAAGACATGAGACATTGTTCACTTCTGAGTTCTTTTGATGGTTATTTAGCTGTCCTTAAACTGCTCAGGATAGATCTGGAATGAAGCCCAAGGTGTTAAAATGCAGATGCTCTCCATGTTAGTTCAGAGATTTTTATCACTAGTGGAACGTATGTCTCATTAATTTCAGAAAAGACATCTAACAGAATTGGCTATCACTGCAACTTCCAATTGTGCACTTTTTTTTTTTCACGACTTCCACATAAATAATTCAAGTACGGTATTTGCAGGCCACTGTTTCTCAAAAAATTCTGTTTATTTTTTTGCTTTTATCTTTTGAAAAACTAAAGGTCATGTCACTGTCAAATGTGTTTTCATTAGCACTGCTAATATTTAAAACCAGTGAGGCTGTAAATTGTCTTTTGTTATGAGAGGTTTTTTTGATATTTTGGTCAGTACCTATGACTGTGCTACCCTTCTGTATTCCTTCAGAAGTTTCAAACTGTAATTTCCAGTAAATATTTACTTTTTATTGTTACATTATATGTAAATGTTATTTTTAAGCAAGTTATGTTGATCATAAGGGTTATTTTCAGAGGATACATTATGAAGCTTTTCCATTGTTTTTCCATAGGACTGCTAGAATTTTTAATTTATTAGCACAGTGGAGTGGCACGGTGCCAGAATTCAGTTTTTGGATAAAGATAAGATCTTAGAACTGTAATGATACAGTGGTAATTGCCATTCTTCATGTTACCTGACACATATATTTCACGTTTTGTTTAGAAAGCTCCAGGGATGGAAGAGATAAGCCAGATCTTCAGATGAAATTTTATTGTGACAGGCATAAACTAGTCCGTGTAATTTTTTTAACCTACAGTATTATCCTGCACATAAGGTGGAACTAATGCAATGATTTGTGCTCAAGCAGCCTTTCAGTGAATTCTTAATTATACTGTCCATTACAATACGTGGGCAAAGTGATTTGTGTTACATAGAAATTACAGGTTTATGCAGTGTCTTAAAATAAAGAATTATATGAAAGAAATAATTTTAGAAAAGAGATACTCCCTTTAAATGTGTTATTTCTTTTTGTCCTGAAGATATATGCTTTTCTTTTTCTAGTCTGGCCTTGAACTTAGCATAGAAAAGTCTGTGGCTGAAGGTGACGTTGATAAGGCTGAGGAGCTGAGTGATAGATTAGCCATTCGTGAGGTAAGTGGGCTATTAACAAAAGCTCTTGGGAAACACTTAGTTTTGTACATCTGTACAAAAAGCATCATAGCTAAAATAGCTTTGCAGATTGTTTGGAGCATCTTTCCTGTTTCCTAAACAGATTTCTGTCAGTGATTGGAGGATTTTAATGCTGATCTAGTAATGCTTGGACAGCTGTAGCTATGCATAATAATTGAAAATATGGCCATGAACGGTCCCAAGTAATGTTGCTTTAAAAGCCTTCATGCCAACTCCACAAGTCAGATAAGTCAGTTACTAGTCATCTATATTGAGTTTTTGATTTTTCTACATGTTGCAAGCCAAGAAAAGAAGTAGGATGTTCCTTTCCTTTGAGTTTCCTATGCCTCAGATTTTCCTTTGCGTTCCCTCCCCAATAAGCTTGGGAGGCATAAAGGAAGGTAGAGATTTAGCAAGTTTAGATCAAGACATGCCCAAATAAGGACAAATGTACTCAAACTTGTCCGTCAGTACTTTTTTTTCCTATGTATTTGTGTGATCAGGAATTGATGGCTGGAAGAATTCTGAAGGACAATGTGAGTAGATGGATGTGAAACATTTCTGTAGCCTTAGAATGATGCTTATAGAATGAATGGGTATTTTTAGTATATAAATGCATATCTCAAAAAAAAAAAAAAATCCAGGTGAGAGAAACTCCATTTTTTCAAGATATGTTAGTTGATGTATCTGAATACTTTTATGAAGGCTATGCTGCTCTTTGCTACAAAAAGTGGACCCTTTAAATTTGTATGTTGTGCTGAGTGAATACTTAAACTGGTGAGGAATCTACCAGATACCTTTGGTCATTGCAGTCTCATATAAGAAATAGTTAAACTGGTGCATGTATCGTAGGTGGTAACAGCTGAAGTATGTAATTCATGAACGCTGTTGTGTATGCTGCTATTTGTGCACAGGGAAGAAAATACAAAGGAAGAAAATTAGAATAAAAAGATTGTTGGAACGGTTGTGAAGCCAGATAGGAAAAAATAACTAAAGTACTGTTTGAGAAGAGTGAAGAAGCTCTCATTTTTAAGTTACCTGATTTATATAACTATAAATGCTCTAAAATTATATTAGAAGTTAATGATATATTTTTTCCTTTCATTCATTTATCTTGCATACTCTTCTATCTTCACAGAGTTAATGGGAATTTTCTGTCCACTATACATACTACAAAATTCAAAGGTATTAAAAAGCATTAAGGTGGACAAATCCCACATGCTTCTCATTCTCATAAAAATATTAAAATGTTTCCTAAGTACAGGGTTTCAAGCCAAGCTGTAATGTAAAATTGCAGATTTAAATCTGTTTAATGCAATATAATACAATGTTGTGATGGCTTTTGAAATGGGAAGTACAGTTCTTAAGGTTCTCTAAGGTTAGGTAAAACTAACTGTTCCTCAATGCCTGTTCTTACGCAATCATTAAACACCTACCTTTAGCCACTCAGGGCAGTTTCTAAGGACTAGACCCTTATCTGCCTTTTCACCAGTGATCACAAAACTTCAGTCCACAAAGGTAACAGCTACTGACAGTGATAGGAATGTGTCCTAAAGTTCCCTTTAAGTCTGACCAGCTTCTCACTGCGATGCTGGTATATTACCCTTCATGTGTACAACATGAAAAACACTTGCTGTTCTCCTTCACAAATGTCATTATCCCATCTACTCTAAAGTGGTTAGAATATCATAATCAATAAAACATACTGAGGTTCTAGTGCAAATTGTTTGACTATAAAAACAAATTAATGTAGGAAGTTTTAAGGTTCTGTAATATTTATGATAAACTGTTATCTGATTTCAGTAGCCATGGGATTGTACAACGTCTAGCATGTCCCAGGTGCTACAGCAATGTATTATTTGTGGAACATTAGCTCCAAATTGTTGACTTTCAAATATTAGCATGTTGTAATTCTGAAAACAAAATGCTTGAAACATTATTAGTATTCACGGCCTTGACTTGGTTTTGGTTAAGTGGGTTTATCTGAATAAATAGTATGTTGAAAGAAGGAAAACTCAAATGACTCTGGCTTGATCTCATGAGGAGTTCTGTTGAGGCAGAATCCATGTGAATTTGCTGGGGTTCTCTACTGTTAAAGATACGATACATAACCCATGGCAAGATTAATTTTTCTTTGTGATTTTAAGAAACTGAGGTTTTTTTAATGGATGTTTTAAAATACTTTTTATTTTAAGGAAATCATTCTAACAGTGACTAATTTTGTCTCAGTGAAGAACTTTAGAAAAGGATTTGGTTGTGGAAGAGGTTGATTCAAAAATCATTGTTTTGTATAAAACTACAATTAATAAAATACTGTTTTCATATTATATAGTATGGATTCAATTGCTGCTCTTCTTCTCTTTTCAATTTAAAGAAATGTCCCTTTTAAAACTGATTTTACATAATACTACTTAGAAGTGAATTAATTTTTAAAATATGTGACTATTTGTATCCCTCTGACTTCCAAATGCAACACAACACTAAGGAAGTCAGGCATGGAATGATACTATGACTGTATTGAAGTATGCCACTTCTTAAGTCTAGAGAAATAAGTGGATGAATTATTGTTCTTTTATCTTGACTTCATCTTTTTATGTATAGTTTTCATTTTTCTTGAGCAATGTTGCAGGGTTGTGGGCAAGGAGTATATGAGAAACAGCTGCCTTCTGTTTGGGGTACAGCCCCCCTTGAGCCATGTGAAAAATGTTCAGTGGTTAGGTGTTCTTTTTGAAATCAGGTGTATGGGGGTTTAATCGGCACCATTTTCTTTTGCAAGAAGCAGTGACTGGAACCTGCTGATAAAGCTTTTGCTTTGAGGCACAGATCCTAGAGTTCTTAAAGCCGTTTCCTGCTTTAATAAGTGAAACTAATTTTTGATGTATAACATTTATAAGCCTGTGAAACTGATAGGGCAGCTTCAGTATTTAGAAAAATGAAGCCAAAAATAAACAGATGATGAGAATAGGCAGTAAAAACATGTCCTAAAAAGCAAAGGAATGCCGAAGTTATGCTGTCAATATGCTAGCATTATGACACAGTGAGAGAAGGCTTTTTAAAATCAGATTCCTTTAAAATCAGTGATTTAGGCAATATGGATAATCTAGCAGCTGTGAGTGGATCAATGAAACTTACATCCTAAAAACTTAAGTGATACTGCTTCAGGGTTTCGGATCTTTTGGTTTCCATGTGGTACTTGTTGCAGGTTCTTTAAGGAAAATGTTACTGTACTGCAGTAAAATGAGGCTTTGGGCAATACATTATTTGTTGCTTTCTTCTGCTTTGAATAAGCACAAATGCTGATTTTAAACCGAAACTTTTTAATAGCATTCAAGGTTTTAGACTGAGTTAGAAATTGGATACCTTATGCACAAGGCTTTGTATTTACTAGTGACTGCATGTATGGATTCATATGTAGCTCTTGAGACTGGCTAAAAATGTTACCTCTTTTTTTACTGGCAGTTACATTTCTATTTATAAAAGTACTGTACTTCTGTCGTGGTGATGATGCTACTCAGTCAAATCTCTTGGCAAACCTCACTACAAAGTGTGACCCCTTCTGTCCTGTTGTCGTCCTAGTTTGTGGACTAGAAGAGTGATTGCAGTTAGTTTGGGAGTTAGCAGGGTAGCAGATATCTAACTGTAGCATCCTTGCCCATCCCCACAGCATGTTCTCTTGTGAGGTGTTCTGCTTCACTGAGTTCTAGTGAGCTTGAAATTCTTGATTGCATTATTTTATATATGAGTGTAATTCTTCCTGAAAGAATATGGGCATGTCTGCATGATGTACAAAATAATTTAGGCCATCAGTAACTTTGCTTTGTTAGCTAAACTGCTAGAACTCAGTCTAGCTTGAGCAGCTCAGTGCTGTGATGCAGTTGCAGTATACAAGATCAGCATTCCTCTAATAAATTTGTGTTGAGCATCAACATAATGCAGGTGGGTCATACTGCTTAATCTTAAATAACTGTATATTTTTAAACATACCGTTAGACTAAATTATTAGTACATACAACATAGTAATATTAGTATCATATAACTAGCAATTCATTGTAGTGTGCATGATATATGCACAGTGTTAAGGTTTATTATTGTAGTCCAGTTGCTGTCTTTCTTATAACATTCCAGGCTTTCAGCACTGGATAAGAGTCCTCCATATGCTAAAGTTTGGCTTTTCACGTGTAGAATGGTATACCTAAAGCTATTGTTGAACACTGTATTTAATGATGACTTGTTTAACTTGAGAGATGCCAGTAGAAGTGTTAATATTAATGTAGGAGTTCCCCCCAAAATTCTGAACCTTTTAGAATGAAAATTATTGAAGAGATTTAAGTTTATATGGACACTTAGCTGTGCTAAGATAAAAGGGTTTTCTTGATGATGCTCTAGGGTAGAGTAGTTGAGATTTAATGGTAGTAGGTACTTGGAAATGTGGCTGGGAACAGACACCTCAAATTATGTCAATTTTTCTAATGCTTTTCAAAAACCTTTTTGGAATAATATCTTTAAAAGTACTTTAGTTGTTCCTATTGCGTTTGTGGGAATCTGCCTAGATTTTTTTGAAGAATAAATATTGATAAATTAAAGCACTGCATAGTTGGAGGTGTTTATCCTTTTGAGCAGGGATGGTATGTGGAGATACCCCAGTTTCATTTTGCTATAAATCAGTTTCAGTTTGGAGTGATACTTGTAAAATTTCTTTTCCTAATTAAACCAAGTAATTTTAAGATTCCCCCCGTAGTATATAAACCTGAAAATATTTTCCAAGCTTTTTTTTTGCCTAGAGAAAGCATTTTTTTATAGTGCTTTTGTATTCCAATCATTGTGCAGTGTCTCAGGAAGCAGAATGAAGATTTCTTATGGCTCTAATATTCTGAGAACTGATCTGGCTAAACCTCAAACTTCACATTTGCTTGTAGTTTTTGTGTTAACTGCCTAGTAGGTAGGTGCCACACTGTCTAAGAGCGTATTAGCCTGAGGACTGT